CAGGATTCGAATCTATGACCTTTCCCTTGAATAAGAATTAAGTTGAATCATGACAACAATTGGGGCATAGAGGCTTGGTCGTTACAAGCTATTCTTTACCTTTGCACTTTGTGAAAGAGTACTCTTCCCTATTTGGGCTACGGTGCATGAACCTTTTCTGGAATTGTGAGGAACTGAAAAACCTTTTATTTAATACTTTTTTTATTTTTTTATTTTTTTTATTTTTTGGCGATTTAGGATGTATTGTCTATTAATTTGTATATCTTTCCTCTCAATAAAATTTTCTTCTCTATTAGAAAGGATGTTCTTAAGTAGTTTATGAAATACAATTTAAAGTAGAAAACACTGCATGCAACTAATATACAAAAGCAAAACAAAATTGCACCTAGCTCAAGACACTCACAAAAGCTATCCACAAGTTGACAGATTTCACAGTCTTAATTATTTCGTAATGGAATCAGGTCAACATATTTTTGTGAGGGATCCGTCTCATTAAGTTTTACTTATTTTCTTCTACATGGCTAGAGGTCAGGCTTTATGTCCCTCCTCATGAGCTCTGTATTTCCTTTTAATAAATAGTTCCCCCTCAAGAGTAGTTCGAATAAATAAAGGTCAAATACTTGGTAAACTGGTACTTTTCCATGTGACTTAGAGGGAAAGGGGCTCTGTTGGAGTCTTGGAAGGGTGCTTTCTTTCTTATTTGTTTCATCTTATGCATGTTTCTTTATAAGGATGATGCTCAGAAGGAGATTTTATTCTTATTGATAGACAACAGAGAAAGTTGTTGTTGTTGTTGTTGTTCTGATCTGTCTTTGGCTTGATTTTGCATTTTGATAAATGCTTTTTTATTTGCCGAGTTTTCAGCTATTGCCCGCACTGTGGGACATTTGTCCAAAAGTGCTGAAGTCATGAAGCTTGTCAACAATCTTATGAAGGCTCCCCAAATGGCTGTTACCATGCAAGAATTCAGCAAGGAAATGACCAAGGTAATTTTTCATCTTTCTAGCTATAAAGAGATGAGAAAAAAAGGCTCCAGAAATAGCTGTTACGATTCGAGTCAATATATTATTTGTTTATGATTCACTCCGTTCCAATTATAGTTTGTTTTACCATCTGTTTATATGTTCATTCTACTACTCTGTTTGTCTCTCAAATCAACCAAAACACTTCCCCTAGTTTCCTTCAGTTTCACCCCAAGGGAACCTGTTAAAAAAGATGGCTTTGTGCGAGCGTCAAAAAATCAATCATCTTATGATTGTTGTAGAACCTCAAAAATGGTTTTAGCATGTTGCATAATATTTTAGTGGCTTTGGCTAATTTCGAATCATTTCATTTTTATATTTATTTTTTTTTATTTGGCCATGAATTAAAAGCGTAGATTTTACAAGCTTTATTATATTATACTGTTAAATGTTAGCGTAAATAATCTAACTAGAATAGAATTAGTCAGTCTGTTTATAAATTACAAAAAAGCATAAAAAATCTGCAATGATTTGCTGAATTGTGCTTGGGACATCATTGTGCCGCTCAATATTTTTTAATATGGGGACAACGATGATGGTTGGGACCTCAATATAGTGGAATTTGAGTTGAAAGTATGGCTCTGATGTTCGATATTGTCATTGCAGGCTGGTGTTATCGAAGAGATTGTGAATGATGCTGTGGACAATGCACTTGATTCGGAAGACATTGAAGAAGAAACTGAAGAAGAGATTGACAAGGTCCTAACTGCAATTGCCGGCGAGACTTCTGCCCAACTTCCTGAAGCAATCAGAAAGGAGAAACTAAAACAACCTGTGCAGAGTGTAGAAGATTCAGAGGTACATCCAAACCTAACTTACACTTATATGCACATGGGTTGGTTTCATTCTTTCTTCTGTTCCTTCTTTTTCTTGTCTTTAAATTTTGTGAATGTGAAACTGTAGGAGAATGCTGACGATGAAGAAGAGCTAGAAGAAATGAGAGCTCGTCTTGCAAGAGTTCGATCGTAACTTGAATGTATGCGTGCAAAATATTCAGGTTTTTTTTTTTTTTTGTTTAATTTTTTAATTTTTTAATTTTTTCTATCTGGATTGTAATATGTGGAAAGAAGTATAATGTATTTTGTAGAGCATCTTGTGTATTGAAAAATCTTAGCTTTATGCTGTAATTAGTTCTCTGTATGCACTTTTGGTGCTCTGGCAAGCATGCGACTGAAGATCTGCCTTTGAATACTTTCATGATGAATGAAAGAAAAAAGAAACAGAGTTGTTTCTTGGTTCTGTGATTTAGTGTCGCTAACCTTTTAATTTATTAGAACATGAGAAGATTAAAGTAACAAAACTCAATTCACATAGAATGTTAAGAATATGGATAAAAAATTGAGAATAACCATATTTCTGTTAGTTAAGTTATTGACAAAGTCTGTTTAGAATGAATTTCGCTATTTGTACATGGTGAATTACTCTGTACAAGTGTCAAATACAGTGTCGGTAGCATTGTATTAGCTGCCAATGTTGCTTTTTTGGGAATTGCCCAATGGAATTTTGTCAAGATGTATGTTTAGATTCCCTGTACATACAACAAAATCCGTTTAAAATATATTTTGGGGTTAGAATTAGAATTATGTTTCTAGTACACTTGTGGTTGACAACATCTTTGACATCCATCCCCTTATATGTGGAAATTGTAGCTATTGATAGGAAAAAGTTTTGTTAAAATTGTTTCGCGCGGGTTAGTTGCTAACAATTAAAAAGGATTAGACGATTGTGTAAGGGACAAAACCTCTTGAGACAAAGTCTCAAAAAGGGATGTTCTTTTATTGACGATGAATTTTACAATTGGAAATGAAAAAACAACGTGCCTCCAAGGAGCGCAAGCACACGAGTTACTGAAAGAAAAGTGTTTAAATCTAAAAATTAAGGAAATGAAAATTACATGTTCTCTGTTCGAGAGTTTTGAATTCCGTCATTTGCTTCTATGTCCTTTCTCCCTTTTATACTTCATAGACGATCTTTTTGTGATTAACTACTCTAAAAACTGCTTGATCGTCCTATAACTACCCACTTTCTTCGTAGTGGCCATTTTGTCATGAAAACTGCCTTTTAACTGCTGCCATTACCTTTCATCGTTCAACCGCTTTCGATTGAATTTCTTGAATCGTGGAACGTGATAGGGCTGCTTTAATAACTGCTTTGATAACTGCACTTCTTGATAACCACGACGCGTTATGTTTGTTAATACCTTGGGCGACTTGAAGGTTTGGGCGAGAATAGAGTAACAGTTTTGGGCGACCGTATGACACTCTATTCGTTCAGATTCTGGGCGACTTGCAAACTTGGGCGATGGCGTTACCGCATTCTTGGGCCTCCTTATTTGGGCCTTCATCTTGATTTGTTCGATTGGGCTTCGTTCTTTGGGCTATCTGATTTGGGGATCCTCCAATTGGGCTTCACTCGTTGGGCTGTTCGATTTGGGCTGTATTTTTATGTGTCAACAATTACCCCCCAATATGGCAGAATTAATAATAATTATTGAATTTTGCCATATTCACTTTGTGTTTCCAGCAACATTCGAAATTTCCAAGAATTTCAATCATTGTTTCCTTCTATAACTTAAAAAAGTGCGTCGTTTTGCAAACCCTTATAAACCCCAAACACGCCATTTCATTGCTACCAAACCACGCCTCATATTTTTTGCGTCTCTTTCAAGATTCACTATTCATCTTTGGCTTCCTTGCTACGTAACCTTGAAAAGCTTCGTTCCTTCTCCAATGGCTGCTTCACAATCTCAAGCTAGCGATTTCTTTAGTTTTGATGACTTTCAGAGACTTCTGAGTCGCCCATACATAACCCCAAGTTTTCTCGTGCCCGCCGACGTTGGACGTAATGAGTTTTACTTGGGTCCTTTCTTCAACAATGCGGAGGCAGTTGAACAGGCGGCGGTGGGTCAGCTGTTTCCTTGCACTCATGGCCCTCCTTTTCTAAACTCTCTGCCGCTGGGGCCACTTCGCGAAAGAGGTATTCGCACTTGGCCTAAATCTGATGTAGCTTTTCGTAGGTGGCATGCTCGCCTTGTGGGTCATGGTCCTACTAAGGCACTTTTTGATAGCGCTAGGATTTCTGATTTGTTGGAAATCTCTATCCTACCCCTTACTTTCGATTCAGCACTCTTTTCGATTGCTTTGAGTTTTTTGTCTTCTGAGTATAACACCTTTATTTTCCCTCTTGGCCCCATGTCTATTACCTTAAGGGATGTTGGGGCCCTGGTGAATCTGCCACCTTTGAGTGATACCATTTTTCCTGATATCTTAGTTTCTGGTGGCGCCCCAAAGTTTGGTAGAAACTACACCGATTCTTATTCAAGCCTGCAGACCCTCCACAATTATTTGAGCGCTGAGCCTACCCATACTGAGCGAGTGACTTTCCTTTTAGTTTGGCTTTGTAAATATGTTTTGTGCGTGCCAAGTATAAAGCCTTCTCTGAGTTATTTACCTATAGCGCACGAATTGGCGCGTGGTAAGCCTTTGAATTTATGTTCTTTGTTTTTGGCTGCCCTTTATAGAGGCATGGCCTCTCTTCAAGTTCAATTGAATAATGGTGCATCTCCCATTGACAGTGGACCTCTTTGGTTCACTCAACTGTGGTTGAGATCCTATTTTCCATCGCTGGATGTTCCATCCATTTCTCGCCCTTCTGCTAGTTGTTATGGGCTAGCCATGGAGCCCTTAACTTCTGTAAATATGTCCAGAAGGGACATTTTTTCATTCTTTTATTCTTTGGATTCAATCCTTTCCTTTTTTCCTTTTCCTCCTTTTTTGACTCCAAACTATGTACATCCCCCTTCCACTATAAATAACGCGAGCACCTCCCTACTCACTTGGATCCAGTTTTTAACTGGGAGGGAGCTATTTCATGATATTCTAACTGGGACCAATGCCAAAGCGGGGGTAGAGATTTATGCTCCCCAATTTTTTGCTTGTCAGCTTGGTTTTGGCCAAACTTGGCCTGTTCCTCCTTGCTATTCAAGGAACTTAGTTGACCGTTTTCATATCATTACTAAGGTGGAGGCAGAGGCTATAGATGCTCGTAATCTTCTTTTAACCAGTCATTTTTCATTGGCCCCCTTCAATTCTAGCCACGCCATTCACCCTCTTTTTGAACAACTCTGACCGTCGGTGAAGCGCAGATTATTTACGACTGATGCCAATCGTGCCTTTCATTCATTAGACCAATCGAGCATTTCTTCTCCTCCTCCTGTTTTGGTCACTCCTTTGTCTGTTCGGAGCCCCTCTCCTTCTCGTCGCACTAAACATTCTGCTCGTCCATCTTCTTCTCTCCCTGCCAAGCCTACTACGGCCAAGAGAGCTCCAAGCCGCAAACGGCCAGTCTCAGCATCTCCCATTCTGGAGGATGATGTTGATGATGATGATGATGATGATGCCCCTCTTATCGTCAGGAGGAAGGTAATTAAATTAGTTTACTTACAAGTATACTTTTTCACATTTGAAACTTTTCTATGTGCTGATGATCTTTTGGACTTTTCAGAAAAGCTCAGCCTCTCCTTCAAAGGCTTTGGCATTAACAACTCCTGCTCCATCGTCCTCTGCTGAGGCTACTTCATCCAAACCGGTTGATGAGGGGACTACGCTTAAAGATACATCTTCAGTCCCAGAGTCTTCATCACAACCCATGGATGAGCCACCTTCTTCCCAGGGCGTCGACCCCCCAAACATCGAAGCAGAAGGTAATTAAATTTTTCGATGTCTTACCTTTGCTCGTGCTGTTGGTTTTTAACTTGTTGCTCTTGACTTTTGCAGATACTCCTATGAGTCCACCCGTTGTGGCAACATCTTCTCGCTCAGACAAGGGGAAGTCCTCACGAATGGAGGAATCGTTAGTGGCAGACTTGGTTGAGGGCATGCCATCTTCCACGATCGTTGATGAGGTAGTCTTTGCTTCACTTCTATTTCTATTTTGTTCGTTATGGTGAGCATCTTTAATATTGGCAATTTTCTTTGCAGGATGCTGACAGGATTGTGCGTTCTATCCAAGACTTGTTCGCTACCTGGGGGCAAGTCCAGATGTCTCGCCCTGCTCCATCTGATGTTCCTGCTGATTTTTCAGAGGAAGATTTGAAGTTTCTGAAGGAGTCGATATTTGAGTACGTATCCTTCATGGATATGGATATTGGAAGGGCTAGTGCTGCCAGACACAAGGATGAACTTGAGCACTTGAGTGCGAAGTTGGGGCAAGCACTGACGCTTCCGTCGCTCAATCTTTCTGCCGATTTTAAAGCGACGTTGAAGGTTATCCACTCCGAGGTCCTTTCTATGCTGGCCAAAAATGCTGAACTAAAGGCCAAGCGTACTCAATATCTTCGAGCCATAGCTGAGAAAGAGTCTTTGCGTATGGAGATTAACAAGGCTGAGGACGAGTTGAAAGAAATCTCTTCCGAAGTCATGATTGAAGACTCTTTGATGGTTAACTTGGCTACTCAGATGAGGGAACTTCAAGCTAAGATGGACGACTGCTGGGCGAGAATGGCTGCTAAAAAGCGCAATGCCTCCTAGGGAATTGAGCGAACTAAATCCTTGGTCGAGCAGTACAAGAAGTTGGAAGTTGATGATGATGTCGCGGCTGAATTGAACATCACTTCCTCTCAGCAGAATGAGGATTGGGAAAAACTTAGGGAACGAATTCGTTCCATATGGGGTAGACTGTAATTAAGACATATGATGCCTTTTTCTTTTGTAATTTGATTTTCCCTTTGTAACTTTGTTCATCATTAATGAACATTAACTTCTTGTGCATTTATTTGACGTTTATTTTTTAGTCATCAATTCTTTAAGCACTTAACTGCTTTGCACTAAGAATCTTGTCCATTTCCTTTTGATATTTCCACCACTTTTCCCAAGACTTTGGGCTTTTTAATTTCGTTTATTAGACAGAAATGTGGCTGTTCATATTCTGCCTCTTCATCTTCACCCTCCTATAAATGCTTCGTATTTTTCATCTTCTATCTTCATCTCTTCATTTTCTTCTTCGAAACCAATTTGCTGCCATTTCTTAGCATTCTGACGATCAATCTGATCCAAAAATGGACTGTTTAGTCCGCCCACCTTACTATTTACCTTAATGTCACCTTTGGTAGGGGAGGTATAGGAAATATTTTCTGGCCAGCAGCGAAGTTCTTTCCTGCAAAAT